ATCTGTGGTTTAGGATCAGAAATAGCATCATCGTCATCATCACCATTCTCTTCATGAAGTGTCATGTCTTGAGCAGACACAGGTGGTGAGGGTTCTGCGTCCATCTCTTTCATTCGAGGCCCTCATGAATGACTTGTTGTTTATTATGTCGTTAGTTGCCAACATGTGTAGGTTAATTCTGAATCTTGTCCGTCGGCGTCCTTGACTTTTTCCCATCGTATTTTCGAGTTATGCTGTACTGGGCACGCAATGGAGAAGGGTGCTGTTCACCGGTGAGAGCAGATTGTCAGCTGATCCAGCACATGGGTGCATCCGTGTGTGACGCACAGACCTGACGTTGTGGAGACAGACCTTTGGGCAGGAGCAAGCGCCATGATTCGGGGGAGACATTGCCTTGAATCAAAGAATTGGACAAGTTGTGTCTTCCAAACGTGGGTCCTGAACAAGGAAAAGGGGTCAGAGCTCAGCGCTACATTGCTCTTGTGCTTCAGCCTCATGTGGTGCCATTTTTTCCAGAGTCGTCCAAACTTCTTTTCCCACCAAGACAAAGCGAGCCCTCATACTGCCCGTGTACCACAGCAGTTCCTGGGACAAAATAAAGTCAATATTTTGCTTCATTCAGTCCATTCTCCTGACTCAAACCCCATTGAACGTATCTGGAACGCCATTCAGAGGCAACTCAACCAGTTGCAGCCACGACCACGGACAGTTTCCCAATTGTCTTCAGCTATCGGCCAGGTGTCGCTTAAACAGCTGTCGCCCCCTAGCCCTCAGACTAGCCCTCTATTGCCCCTTAAGGCTGTCTTCGCCTAACCCTCGTCAGTAGGGCTATCGCCCCCAGGCCGTCTTCAGGGCTGTCGCCCATAGCCCTCAGAAAGACTGTTGCCCCTCAGGGCTATCGCCCACTAGCCCTCGTCAGAGCTAACCGCCGTTTATATTGTTAAGTAGAAACAGGGCTATGGAAAGTATGCTTTAAATAAAAAAATTACCAAACCAGCAGAGGAAAATCCTAGCTATTCCTCAAGGAAATATGGGTTCATATTCAGGAAACGCAGTAAAGTCTCGAAACAGAACGCCAAAAATGATATTAGACAACGGTTTCTTGAAAAATCAAGACAATGAAACGCCTGTCCAAGACACAGAATTTTTACCGTCTTGACCTGCGTCCGTGGCGTAGCAGTCATACAAAGACAAGAGCTCAATTCCTGAAAGGGGAAAATATTTATCAAGTATTTCAATATTTCTGCAAGGATGTTGTATCCCTCTCCGCCTATGTAGATCCTAACGGGCAGGGTTGATGTGCGTTTCCTGAAAATATGATCTAAATTGTGTCGATGGGGACGTGAAATCACCCACCACTAGTAGGCCTGTTTTGATAAATGGAATGTTTGTAAAATTGTAAAGAGATGCAGTGAGAATAAAAAGAGATAATGTGTGTGTGTGTGTGTGTGTCCTATCCGAGAGCTAGGCAGCGACAGCCCCAATGGGTCAATATCTCTCTTGAGGGATAGGGGGCAACAGCCCTTCTGGGGACTAGAGGTGACAGCCCTTAGGGGACAACAGCTCTTCTGAAGGCTATGGGGCAAATAGCCCTATGGGGGCAACAGCCTTACTGATGGCTACGGGGCGAGAGCCCTTCTGAGGACAATGGTGCAACAGCCCTTCTGAGGGCTAGGGGGAACGACACTTTTGATGGGTAGGGGGTGACAGTTCTCTCTCTCTCAGTTCTCTCTCTCTCTCTCGCTCTCTCTCTCACACACTCACTCTCTCACTCACTCTCACTCTCTTTCTTTAAATTCTGTCTCTCTCTATATCTTTCTTTATCATCTCATGATCTCTCTTCGTGAATGCGTGCATGCGTGTGGTGAGAGTGTGTGTGTGGGGGGGGGGTTGCTTTTAACGATTCTCATCGCCCAACTTTTCTCATACAAACCGAGGATTCTATTCTGCACAGAAAACGGATGACATGGCCAACAAGGGGATTTAATTTAACAAAAATATATCATGCCACTGTTCATATTGAATAACCTCCCCTAGAAGCTTTACAGTCCAGTCCAGTTATAAAGGCCTCAGAACAGGGAAAATGAAGTAAAGCCAACAATAAGATAGCACTAAGTTAGAGGTATGTCTTTGATTAAACACGTTGGGCTTTCACGTCAGTAGAATGTACTCACTTTGCAAGCCACACGTTATGTCCTTGGGAAAAGCACTTTACATGAATTTTCCTCACTTCATCCGGATGTGAATGGCTACCTGGCCACAGACAGCGAAAGA